ATGTAAACATGATGCTTTCATGGTACATAAAATGTAACAACACCCCGCAAATGATTTTATTTCACAGTACAGTTGCAAGCCAACAAAACCAACTTACAATCCTACCATCAAGAACCATACATGGGACTTGACCAAATGGATCTTGAAACCCTACTGGTCACACAACCTGACCCAAACAAAAATTAAATCCTAACCCTAACAATTAGGGTTGCTTTTATTCAATTTTTAATTAATTTGAAATAAGCCCAAAAATAAACTTGTTCCAAATGACCTCAAAATTTTATGTAAGCTTCCTCATAACAAATTAGTGTACCAAAATAAATTTCATAATTTTTGGAGCTATACAGTGGCCTACAAAAATCATGGAAATTGTATTTATTAATTAATGGACTGAATTTTTGAACATTAAAAATTTATTCAAATTTTAAGTTTCAAATTTTTAAACCATACTAGAGCATGTACAGAAGCTACACACAAAATTTCAGAATTTTTGGAGCTATGATTATTTTCCTACAAATTTCCAAAGATTCAGCACTATTAAAAATTTTAGAAATTACAAAATTGCACTGTTCTTCTTCCTCTCTTGTAGTGACAGCCAGGCCCCGCTTGTCAGTGACCTAAAGAGGACGCACGGCGGCGCTGTCTGCTCCGATCGGCAAAACACGCCGACGGTGAAGCTCTAACGAAACAGACCGCACCTTCATGACCTATTCTTTCCCCCGAACCAATCTCAGCTATCAGAAAGGAAAAAGGTGCACCGGAGACACCTCCACGCCGGGTATGGCGGCTTGGACTCGACGGCGGTCGACGTAGCTATGGCTACGGTGTAGTAGAGTCAAAAGAAGAGCGAGCATCACGCTCAGGAGCTCACCGTGATCACGATGGTGTACTTGGTGCAGGCGCAGACGTACTGAATCACCCTGGCCACGGTGAGGTGGGTCGCGGCGGAGCCTCGGCCGGCTCCGAAGAAGACGATGTCGCGCGGTGTCGTTGACCGGCTAGAAACGAGACGAGCAGGTCGGGAATGAGCGGCAGGGCGAGGCGGAGCTGTCGGCGTAGCTGGGCACGACTGACGTGGCTCGACGATGGCTACGACGAGCGGCGGAGCTACGCGGTGGCGGAGCAGAGCAGAAGGGGAAAACGGGGACGGCGGCGGCGACTGTTGCTATTTATAGCTGGAAAGGGGTTGCCCGGCGTCGACTGCGCACGCTCGAGCCCGCCACGGCACCGGCTGCGTGGCGCCGGCGGTAAGCGGCGATGTCAATTTTGATTTTTGAGTTATTTACAGAACTGCCACTGAGTCTATTTTTCAAATTACTCTCAAATTTTCTAAAGAAGTTGAAAATCTCCAAAAATGAAAGCTGTTCAATTTTTCAAACTCTACAACTTTGCTTCAAGGAACATTTTCAAATTCTGCCTCCATTTTGAAATTTGAATTTGGGGTGCATTTGAGTATTTGAATCATTTCAAAATTACTCCAAATTTTATATGTAAACTTTAAAAACTTTGAATACCAAAGTTGATCCTTATAAAATAATCTCCAACTTTGCTTTTTTCCTCAACCCCAAATTCCACATGGATTTTGAATTAGTCAAAAGGGGCAAAAAGGACTTTTATAATTTGAATTTGAATTCAAATTTGATTTGTCTTCCTTTTACTTAAATTTTGATTTTTGACCAGTAACATGGTCCATTAGGGTTATTTGAGTCAAAGGACACATGACCTCACATGATCACATGAATTTTGACCCTTGTGGGCATGATCTTTATTTAGGGTTTTGAATCGCATCACATGAAATAACAACATTATGAAATAAAGCTTATTAGTGAATGCATTCAAAATTTTCTACTTTATGAATGATTTGCAATGCATATGATGACATGCCAAGTTTTAGTTATAGGTCCAAACACCAGAGGTGTTACATCCGCTCACTTGCACACTTGAATTCATCATCTTGAGTGGGATTGGAGAGTCTCTAGTGTATTGTTTAGTGTTCTAGCATCTTGTGGAGTTCTTGTTACTATTGGTGTTTGTCGACACCTAGATGGCCCGGTGATTGATAGATTATTGAGTGACTATTGGTGATTGTTGCCGGCTCTGATCGTCGACATTGTGAGGGGTTCTTGTGCCTTCCTCGTGGGAGATCACGAAAGGCAACTTTAGTGGATTGCGCGTGGCTTGTGTGATCCTCGTCTTGTGTTGGTTGTGCGGCACCCTATTGAGGGTTTGGCGTGTGATGTCAATTAGCATATGAACCCCCAAGTGAGTGAATCGGCACAACGAGGACTAGCTTGCTAGCAAGCAAGTGAACCTCGGTAAAAAAATATTATGTCATCATTTGATTCTGAGGTGATTGGCCTTCTTTGGTATTCATTCTTGTGATTGATTGGCTCCTTTGGTGATTGGCTCATTCCTCTACATGGCGGTATAGCACTCTATCCTTCCCGAGCATTTATATTTCTTAGTATAGCTTGGCCCTTTAGTGTAGCTAGTTTTGAGAGCAAGCAAAACTCGTGTCTAGTGGTTAGTGAGGCTCTTTAGTTAGTCTTTAAGAACTCACTAATTTAGTGTAGTTACATAGCCTTTTGAGTGCTTACAATAGCAACTAGAATTATGGTATGTGGCTTGCATTCTTAGTAGACTAGCACAACATTCGCTTCACCTCATATTTGTCTAACCGCTTTGCGTAGTGTTGTTGTAGAAATTTTTATAAGCTATTCACCTCCCCTCTAGCCGATGAGCTCTGGGGTCCTATTCCCTCCTCCCTCTAGCGAGCTCGAAGGTGATGGGCCAGGGGCTGTTTTGTATGCTTTTTTTGTTGTGTTTTCCCGTGTTGCAATGGGTTTTTTGGGGTGTTGCAACAGATGATTTTTGTATGTTGCAATGGGAATTTTGGGTCATTGCAACATTTGTTTTTGCGATGTTGTAGTACTATTATTTGAGATGTTGCAGTACATAATTTTTGATGTTGCAACACATATATATTTTCGATGTTGCAGTACATGTTTTTTTAATGTTGCACTACATATTTTTGCGATGTTGTAGTACATGATTTTTTATGTTGCAGCACATATTTTTCGATGTTGCAGTACATATATTTTCGATGTTGCAGTACATGTTTTTCAATGTTACACTACATATTTTTACGATCTTGCAGTATTTATATCCCAATGTTACACTATATAGTTTTTCCATATGTTTGCAATGTTGCACTTGAAGTGTTTCGTGCTCTTTTGGGATAGGGGCGTGATGGGGAGCGGAGGACAGGGGCGGGTTCCGTTCTATACGCGAGGGTGGGTGGGTTCTGTTCTATTCCGCGTGGGTGGGGCGGACGGGTTTGGGAAGGGGACCAACGTCCGGACGCTAGAATCGCCCTTTCTAGATACGTATCTTTTACTATACATTTAGATATACACTATGTTTGTACATATAGTAAAAATAATATATTAAAAAATCTAAAACATCTTATTATTTGGAATAGATTGAGTACGTAGTGAAGTCTAATAGTTTGATAACCAAATAATAAGCATACTATTCAAACTTTATGAGCTCAACCGTTTCCACTCTCCAATAGGATATGATTTCTAGATATGCATAGTCACGTAGATTTTTTTTTCTCACAAATCGACATTGGATTTACCAATCCCATTTTTATTGTCACCGCTAATTGCCCATGTGGGAGTGAATGTGGATTTAAGTGGTATGGTTTAGAAATCTAGGCATAATTTTCATAGACCAAGTACAGAAGGTTACCCTTTGAAAGAAAAATATAGCTCAAAGAATACACCACATCTATCTATAACTATAACCTACCTCATGATGCCTTGCAAGCAATAACTTTGTGTCCCTTTATATATCATTTTACAGATCAACCATAGTATCGAGAAAACACAAGCTAATCAAAATTATTAAACATCGCTATAGCTTGCTGTATGTCTGTAGAATGTCCGACGTTATGCAAGTTAGCATGATATAACACAACAACCACAAATTGATAAAATAAGAAGTGGTTCTATTTTCAATTAAATCATCTTTCATACATTGATAAATGAGATAATAGTGAAGGATCTGGTTTGATTTGTGATGTGTTGCTGAGACTTGAGAGGCTATATGTATGATAGGGTATGAGTAAAGTATACACAAGTGTAGGACTGATGGCAAATGATCAGCCTGTTCGTTTGACTAGGCTGGATCGTTGCTGCTTCGTGAAGAAGAACTACTGGCTGGTTTGGTGTGAGAGAAAAATACTGTTTCGGCTGAAAATTTACGATCGTTTACGAAGCCAGCCTAACCGAAAAGGCTGGATATGAGTCTGAAAAATAAGAGACAGTACTCTTATCTGAACTATATAATAACTAGTTAGATGAATGATCTAGCTCCGAACTAAAATTCCAAAATTACTGCTTACTCCCTCCATCTAAAAAATAGAGTCGTTGTGGGAATTATGCTGGTCAAACTTTCTCAACTTTAATTAGGTTAGTAGAAAATACGTGCAACATTTATATCTCCAAATAAGTTTATTATGAAAGTATATTCAACGATCTACCTAATAATACTAATTATATACAATAAATATTAATATTTTATTAAATATATTTGGTCAAAGTTAAAAGTTGCTAACTTTTTAGGAAGTGAGAATGACTTTTTTTTTTTGACAGAGGGAGTACATATCTTGTATTTGATCCACGGAACACATTTTTGATGTCATATCCAGCGTTTAACATGGTTTTCATTAGCGTTATTTATTAATTTTATTTAATAATAAGAAGAAGAAGAAAGAAGAGGAAAAACATGTTTTTTTTTTTTTTTGAGAAAAAAGAGGAAGAACAGGTTTCCATTGGGCCTTTTGGGCTGTCGTCTTTTCCTAACCCGAATCGCTCCGCCGCACACACACAGCGGCCAGCGCATGACCCAAGTGAGGAGAGCGTGAAGCGGGGGAGCAAGCAGCGCAGCGCAGCGCAGAGCGCCGGCCGGCGGCTAAGCGGGAGGCGAAGGCGAGGATGATGGGGTCGCGCCAGTGGCAGTCTCCGGCTGGTGCTCCTGCGGCCGCCGATGCCGCGGAGGAGGACACCGGCGGCGTCGGGGGCCCGTCCAGGCGGCCGCTGCGCCACGGGTTGCACCGCGCGTCGCCCTACGGGGGTGGCCCCCGCCGGTGGCTCCCCAAGGTCCCCGTGGCTTCGAGGATATTCCCCACCAGGCCCCGCGACCGCGCCGCCTCCGGTGATTCCCCTCACTGCCCTCGTTGTCTTGCACCTCTCTGCTATCGGCTGATGCCCGTTTGCGGAAGAGGATCAAATGGGGAAACTCTGCGACGTCTTACCTATTCTGTTAGCGAGTTTGTCGCCTTTGGCAAATGAGTTCACTGTAGCTCGTGTTTTGTTTCAGATCAACGCTAGTCTATCTAGGGTTTAGGGTTAAGCGCCTGTGCATCTCATGCCATTTTACTCTTTGCATTGCATCAATCTCCAACCTAGGGTTTGATGTGGCAGGTTTGAAGAAGTTAGCTGGTGCCTGCTTTTCTGGATCCACTAGTGGACTCATGATCAAGCGTGTCAAAAGTCTACCAACTGATGGGATTTAGTTAAGCCCTTCATGTACTTCCTGACAATTACTATTGTTTTGGACTTCTGCCCTTCATGTACTTCCTGACAATTACTATTGTTTGGGACTTCGGTTTGCTGTGGTTTGTGATGGTTTGATTATTGGTTATGCTCTTTGGAATGGGCATACTAGTTGATGTGTAGTGAACTTGAGGTCAAGTTTGGGGTTCCCAATCCTTGTTATTAGTGTAAGGGCCTGTTTGGATGGACTAGAACTAATAACTAGTCCTATTAGCTCCTATATGTGGACTAATGGACTAACAACCAGTCCATGACTAGGAGACTAACAATTAGTCTGTCTATTTGGATTATTAGGGACTAAAAATTAGTCAACTAGTTGTTGTCCTATGGATCCAAACAGGGCCTAAGGCTGTACTGGTGTCCATCTGGTATTATAGGATCATGGGAGTAACAAGAGTAGTTTTAGTGATAAACTATTATATAATCTAAATTTATATATGACCTCATTATTTATTTCAGTTCTTTGCTATAGGTGAGTAGTTTCTTAGCAGCACTCCCATCTGTATTGCTGTTATATTTTTTGACGCATCTATGAAATTATGGTCATGTGATGTATTTGTCAGTTATCATGTAGATCGATCATACTTGACGAGTTTCCATATAGCCTCCAATCATGCACGGTGTTTAATGTGGATTACTTAATGGTGTTTTAAACATATGCAGACAATGATCAAGAGGTTCATCGTGAATCACTGGAAGTTATTCATGAAGTAAGCAAAGTTACTTATCTTGGAAATGCTTATTTTCTTTGATTTATTAAAGTACATTTTTTCTGTCTATGGAGTCTATTTCTAATATGTGTTGTTATGTCACTTCAAATAAAATGCTGCAGCTGTCAGAAGCAAATGTAATCACACCAGATAACTTCTGTTAGTACAGTTTATGGACAATCATTTTGCACTCAGAACTTTAAAATAGCTAGCACAAGAAGATACCCTATTAAGCTCCCTTCTCTTAGGCCGTTACTGTTGAAAACATAGATCATATCGCTGATCTATATTGGCTGACTGCTTATTAGCATGCCTTAGATGTTGCAATGGTGCCTATATTCCCTATGCATATCCTGCACTTTTGATTCTATCGCTGCAATGGATCTAGAAGGATAATGATTGCTAACCATATTCTATTTTGCCTTTTGTGTTACTTGTGAACTGCAAGATTTTTTATCAGTTTCTACCTTGTTTTTCTATGTTTTCTCCATTTATTTCCCAGTCAAGATATATCTGTGCGTGAATGTTGTCTTTAATCTCTCACTCGGTAATGTAAACTGTAGAGACACTCCACAGAACCAAACATCAATGCTGCAGCCATTCTACCACCAACATCTGTGAGCAATACATTCAACTTGCTTCTGGAAGGTGACAGGAATCCAAGTCATGGCAATGGGCTTGCTGACATTGAGAACATAATCAACCAGAGATATTTTTCTAGGCAGGTTTTTCTGTACCTTCTACGTTTTGACCGTTATGTTATTTTTTTAGTTCATTGATGTTGCTTCTATCTTTTGAAAGGTAGAGTAACGAACTTTGTAATTTCCCTTTGATTCCTTAATTTGTTATCCAAATACACCCTCTAATTGAAATTGTAAATCAGTTTATGATATGTATTGGTAAAATTATATCAAATAATTATGTAGATTGAAAATATAAAATTGATACTACTAGATCCATGAATAAAAGGGCTTCTGCAATTTATAGTTCTTTTACCTGAAATAATATAACGCCTAAGAATCACTAGAAGTGTTGTTGGAGATCATATCAATGCCCTAAGCTTACCTTTCCCCAAAAAATAAAAGCCCTGGGGAGAAAAGTAGGGCGCAATGGGTGAGTGGGAATTGGATTTTAATGACAAATTGTTGACACAGGTATTGTTGTCAAAGGATGTTGCATGCAAATGTCATATTATGCCCATTGCTTTTTTATATTATTTTACTTCTTTCCATTGACTACCATAACTCGAGTCATCACACATCATGTGGAGAAAGATTTATGTCTATATTGAACAACAGTTGTGGTTGCCCAGTATTTCTTGAGTTTATTGTGCATTTAGGTTTGGAACTTCAGATGCCTGTGATCCTTTTTGGTCTTATACAGGGATGAGACACTACGTCTTACAGAGATCATGCGGTCAAGGACTCCTGATTTTAGTGTGGAAGACCAGAGACCTTCAGTATCTACTGCAAAAGGTTTTGAAACATCATTTTCAACACCTGCCAAACTGATTGAGGATCAGCCATCCTTGAGGACTGATATTGTTCCATCATCCAATGTAAGAATGACTGAACTGTGCAATGTCAACTTATGATTACATATCTGTGTACAGAACATATTGGTAGATACCTGCTGATCATGTTGCCTTTGTTATTTCTATGTGATGTGAATCCTGCCTATATGCTTATGCTTGTAGCTGAGTAATAGTTTTCTGAACTATGTGTAAATTAAAATATTGATTCAAACATTTTAATCTCCCTCCTTCCCTCCTATAGCAACAGAGGGTGTGCTGGAGACTGGAGAGTTATATATGCACAGCACTTAAGCAATACAAAAATATTCCTTTTTTTTTTGCTTCATTTGTTGTTTTCTCTTATCTTGTGCTTTATTGTCATTTTAGGTGCATGACATTGGTTCTTCACCGATTGAAATTGCAAAAGCTTTTATGGAAGCACAGACCTCAGCTTTTGTACACGAGTCCAAAAGGCGGAAATTCAGAGCTTTGAGTCATGGAGTTGAGGCTGACAATTCGACATCAAAAGTTTTCCCTACAATAACTAATGATTGTTCTGTATGCTGGCCTGGTTCAGTTGTTCGAGGTTGTCCCAATTATCTTACACCACAAAGTAATAAAGGAAGGACCCTGCCTCAGCCTCTTTCTCGCACACCATACAATAGATCAGTTTTTCGAAGATCTATTAAGGTTGCATATTGATTTTCTTTGCAATTGATTTCTATTCTAAGCTATGCAATGTCTCTTATTTGTCATCAACTGTATCTATCACTATGTACTAGCATTCATATATTACCTTTGGGAGCTAAAAGGTTTCATGCTTATTTGGTCTGTAACTGCAGAACAGCAGGCATGGTGATACATACAATGGACAGACACAATTTTCCACTCCATTTTCTATTGGAAGTAAGGTACTAGCTAGTTGCCCATCAGTTGCAACAGATTTTCATTATGAAGTATTCGAAATTCGGCTAATCGTTTATCCACAAAGGAACCACATAGATACAAGGTGGAAGACCATTTATTGGATTATCTGTACACCTATGTATACACAAATCAGTGAACAGTATATTCTTGTGTAGAAACCAACCAACTGTTTTTATAGAAGTAAAGATAAATTTGATGTATTTTACTGTTATCATGATACACACTTGTCTCTTTTGCTTCATGAAAATAAGAAACCTTGGACTGATTTAAGCCCACATAATTGTATTGTATGTTGAAACTATTTGTGCAAGTTTGTAATAACTAATCAAATTTTATTCTAGCTTGTTTGTGATTGAGTGATATTGTTCTCCGTTTGAAAGGTTGTCAAACCTGATTATATTTGACTATAAGTAATTCCTGCAATTATTGCACAGCATCCCCAAAACTTTGAACAATGATCGACAACTGAAAATCAGTTATAACTTTGCTTGCTATGTTTAGACCTTAAAAGTGCCGTCACATGGAAAAAAATAATGTAAAGATGTTGTATGGCCATCTGTGCCTTTTTGTCTAATAATATTCTTATTTGCTTTATAGACAATACTAGAGGATAAACATGCATCAACAAGTGGTGGTATGGTGCAGCCTTCATCTTCCAGGGGAGAGAGAGATGGTTTTGGTTCTATTCCAAGAGAAGGTTCTGCCGCAATGAAGAATGTTGCATTCAACTTGCAAGGGTCAGATGGCAAAAGCATGACAGAAAATAGAGCAATTTTTGGATGTGCTTCAGGTGTAGACAATATCTCCAGGGGTGCTTCAGTATCTGTTCATCCCAAGTCAAGTGAAACAGCTTTCAAAATACTTAAGCAACTTGACAGGACTATTCCTTCCCCTACATCAAAGCCACTAGGGCTGAGACAGACATTAGCCAATAGAAATACTTCTTCTGTTGCCACCAACAGACAGATCAAAGGGCCTGATTTCAGTATCGGTAATGGTAATAAACAGAGCAGCATTAATGAGAGTGGCAGTGCTAACTCGGAGACTACATATGGGAAGAAGGTATACTCCCACTTGCATTTTCTAGCACGATATACTGTACTACTGTTTACTAATTGTGCATGTTATAAGGGCAATGAAAGATTTTTAGTTATCTTGCCAATAGGTACTCTGAATCTTGTTTGAACGTAAAATCAATTGTATACATACAATACTGAATTACTGAAAAAATTCTATATGCACGTCTAATTGTTGTATTGCAATGCAAAACAATGTTTTTTTTAACCTGAAATTTTCTCCTGATCACTTATTTTAGTTTGTTCTCTACTGCTATTTTCAGTTGACCATCAACGCAGATTGGATCAGTATCAATTTAGCAGATCCCTAGTAGCATCAAACTATAGATACTCCACTAATCAGCTGGTTGTGTTTCACCTTGTGTAGGTTCAGCAACCTCAAAGCAGTCCTATTGCAGAAGAGTCAAGTGAAAAAGTCCAGAGAAGCGGAGCTAACTCAGATGTTTCTGAAGCAGGCACTTCTCAGCAGCCTCTGAAATCAAACTTAACACCCACTTCAGTTGCCGAGGTCTTGGATAATAAAAACACTAGCAAAGGTTTCAGCTTTACATTTCCTATTCCTAAAGCTCCAAGTTCTCTACTTGAACCGCCACCTACACCAACCATGGCTTCACCACCAAGGACCCTTCCAATCACTAATGAAGATATTCCCACGTTCACCTTTGGCTCACCCAGTACGGCCAACAAACTCGTTTTCTCCTTCAACTCCACAAGCAGTTCTCTTGGTGCTGGCGCAACAGACCCAACCTTCAAATTTGGATCTGATAATAAGCGAGAGCTTGTGTTTTGATATAGTTGTCAAAGATGCAGTTTGTTTTTGACCTTCAGATCTGAATTCAACCACTCTTTCTATTTTTGGTGTGTCGATGAAAGACGCCTTTAGAAAGTTGGAGTGTGCTACTTGAGCTATATACATGAGGACATTCGTTTCATTTATCAGTATATTCAAACTTAAACTTCTTTTTACATATTTTAGGCGTTCTTCATTGGCAGGATATTTTCCCAGTGGTTTGCACCCGTGGCTGTGTCATTGGGCATCAGTCCTTTTGGCCTATAATTTAGAAGCTTTCATATCTGAATGGAGTTCCACCATCCTTTCAGTCCAAGGTATGTGATGTCACTGCTGATATAATCCGTTGAAAAGAGTTGCTTTCTTGGCAAAGCGTGTTTGAAACTGCGCATTTTTGACGCATGAATGCACCAGCCGGTTTCTGATAACCAAAAGGCACGAGGAGGATGACCTGGTTTCTAAAGACAGGAGTCGAGTCCGAGTCATGAAAACGACGGGTTGATGCAGAAACAGCTGCCTGGTTGCATCGCATACACAGGCTGGAGTCGCCTGGACTGATTGATGTCGCCACTGAACCGAAAGCATGGTGAAATGTTGCCCAAATAATGGTGCCATACACGTAACCAGGTACGTGTGGATATCTGGATTATATTCTGTAGCTTCCTGAAGAAGGCTCCACACATCAAACAGGATGCTGGCCAAATTTTCACCAACACATCGAGCTAGACGCGTCGGTTGTTGGGAGAACTGAAGAACGGGGAAAGAATCTACTAGTCCGTCAGTCCGTGCATTATTTGTTCTTCCCTGCACTGAAGGTACTATAATTGAGCACTGAAGGAAGCGTCAGATCGTCCGATTAGCTTCGTTTCACCAACTAGTAGTACTAAATAATCACTCGGCCAGGATTGGGCCAAGCTAGCTAGCGTCCGTTCACTCGAGTGCAGGCTCTGTGCAAGGCCAAGCCAGTACTAGCTAGGAACGTGTCCTGACGGGCATCACTAGAACACAACTGGGAAGACCGATCAGCCCGACCCGATCGGTCAGTATGTGGTCATTCACTAATGATGCGTTGTTATCGCGTAATGATGCCCTGTATCTCTCCCGTAGCTCCAGAGGATCCAGCGTCGCTCTCCGGCGGGCCCCGGCGGGCACGAAATTCCGGTGTACCCATGCAGCCCATGGATCAAACTCAGAGCACGGCCGCGCAGGGACCAGGCCCACGATCCTGTGACGCCATCTCTGGCCCTCCGCCGGAGAAAGCTCCGCGCGCGATGCCATACGGGTGCACGGCCGCCGTCACGCAACCGGCCGGACAACTAGGGTTTCGCAACTGCTGGCCGACCACGCCCTCTCCTGGGTCCTGGCCGGGACGACGACGACATGATGGCTTGCCACGCTTTTCCGTTCCAACGCCTACGGTTATGCCTTTTTCTCAGCTACGTTACAAACACCTTTCTTTTATTTTATTTTGAATCTTTTTCCAGACATCTTTTGAGGGCTTCTTTGCAAAACTAAACTCTCTCGTAGTTTTCTTTCTATATTTTCAGACTTTCTTCAGTCAGTCAATGGCGAGGTCTTCGGATGCCATTAGCAAAGCAGCATCTCGGAAAAGAACTTTGTGGTAGTGTCATGCCATCAGCTGAGTGATGATGACCACTCTTAAAAGCACCACATCACCCTGGCATGGCAAAGCTTTTGGGTACCTAATGAATATTTAGTATTGCACCGTCAGCACTAAGGAAAACGTATATAAATGGCGATGCTTAGGCACAACAGAAATAGGCTTTTAGGGCCACTAACACGGTGCGGCCTTCATCGGAATCAAATCATAAAGTGCCAGAGACGCGTGTGTAATTCCACTCTGTTGGTTGAAAGATATGTTTTCTAACGACATCGTCATCTCACCTTTCGCTCCACCAACTCTAGTCCTGCATACCAACCCCGAATTTCTTATTACTCTGCTGCAAATTCTTTTATATTTTATTAGGGTGACCTTTTTCCTGAGTGGTCAAGTTCTTGTGATCTACTCTCATTATTCACAAAGGAGAAGCTGTGCAATACTTTGTACACGACCGCTTGCTTGGAAAGTCATGATATCTAGGTCCAAACTGTCCAATCTGAGGTTAAATTTGTAGGGAACATGTCTAGTGGTCTGCCAATGTGGTTCCAGGCCTTTTTATGTGCACACTAGCCATTTTCATTTTATTGATCCAAGCTTGCAAAATTTCTTAAATCCACATAGCTTTTCTATTCCATTAAGGCATTTCATGTGGAATTTTTTTAATAATAACATTTCAAATAAAGCCATCTAATATGCACCTAGAAATAGGACACATAAAAGAATATACCGTCAAATGTTTTCGGAGGGTGGGGAGGAGGGGGGTTGCAAAACCACCAAAGAAAGCCGATTTATGCCCATGCCATGCCAAATGCGCTAGGGATATACAAAGATCCATATGAAGTACAAAGTACCATTCCTCCTTTCTTTCCAATCATTTCTAGTGTGATCAAGAATCCAAAGTTGGTGAAGTTGATTGTGTTATCCTTCCATCTGTTCTCACCCTGCAATTATCATGTCTGATCACCTTAACGAGGTCACCCATCCACTTACAATTGATCCAACCTTTTTGGATATCCAGGAAAACAATGGATTCACGTTACTATATTTTATTCTCTAATAAGGTGGTACTCATTTCGACATATGATTTCAAGACATGGCCCCCCATTATGATATCTAGGTCTGAATTGCCCATTTTTAAGGTAAGATTTGCAAGGAACATTTATAGTTATCTACCGATGGTGTTTCATATATACAAAAACTAGCCATTTCATTTTGTTGTTCTATGCTTACAAATTTTCTGAAATTCGCATAAATTTCCTATTCAATTCAGACATTTTATGTGGATTTTTTTCTTCCCAATAGCATTTAAAATCAGAAGCTCTAAATGGAAACATGATAAATTGTTATATATAGATTCATTTCCTATCCAACACGCACCTAGTAGAACTAGGAAGCATAAAAAAGTATAACACAAGATTCTTTCAAAGAAGCATAATGCAAAACCACGCTGACGAAAGCCAATTTCCCTATATCATTGGACCTTGCCAAGCACAGATAGTGAGCTACAAATTAAATATCCAACATGACCTTCATATGAAACACAAAGTAGTGCTCCTCTTTTCATCCCACTCATCTCTCATGCGTTATCAAGTCCAAAGTTGGCAAAGTCGAGTGTATTATCCTTTCGCCCATTCCCACCCTTGAATTATCATTTTTCCATCACCTTAACAAAGTCACCATAATCAATTCTACTTTCCTAAACATCTATTTGGCTAAGGAAACCCTTAACCTAAGTCTACATCCGAGAGAGGATCATATTTTTATATACATAAAGATAATTATGGATCCACATTACCATATTACGATCTCCAACAAGTCGTTATCCCTTCCACATATGGTCTCAACACATGGGCCTTACCTAGTGATCAAACTTAGAAGGTGTGTGCCTAACCAAGAGGCTATTCAGATCGACTCTTGTATGCATCTCACATTGATCCTTCAACCCTTACACTATGACATTCCTATTCCATGTGAATGCTTCCCGTGGAAAGGTTAATGCCCTGTTTGGATATGGGGTCTAGATAATCGAGCTACGTTTACGCATCCGCAGTCGGAGGTGCCGATTTACCCACCACATAAAATGAACTACGTGCAGTTTAGCCACCGCATGATTTTCTCCACCACCCGCCAAACGCTTCGCGGTAGGCCAACTGAGAATCGGATTTTGATCCGAAACAAACCTAACCTAAGTATACTCTTGAGAAGCTTAGGCCATGTTTAGTTGGCCACCGAATCGGTGCCGCCGGATTTCCTGGCGCTACTGTAGCTACTGTAGCATTTTGTTTTTATTTGGTAATAATTGTCCGATCGTTGACTAATTAGGCTCAAAACGTTCGTCTCGCAAAGTACAACCAAACTGTGCAATTAGTTTTTGATTTCGTCAACATTTATTACTCCATACATATACCGCAAGTTTGATATGACGGAGAATCTTCTTTTTACATAGTACCAAATTCAGGAATTGGGGGAACTAAACAATGGCCTTAGACAATTATTAGACTTCACCCACTCCATCTCTTGCTTCTGCAAATAGAGAAGATTAACGCCCATCTCTAATATGGAACAAAAGGCAACCGCTAGAAGAAAAAAAAAGTCCAAGAGGCATGTTTTCAAAAGATAAATAAAATAAAAATAAACCCAAGGGTTGGCAACGTACACGATACGTCGATACATCTATAGACTTTGAAGGGGCGATCCGCTAAACGGCCAAGGAAAAAAGCCACCCTGCTCGTACAGTCGTCCCCAGCATCGCCGGTCCACGACACGCACGCACAGAGCACCACACCACCCCACCGCCACGGCGCCTGCCCCTGTCCTACTCCTGCGCACCCGGCTCGGCTGCTTCCTCCCCTCCCCTCCCTCCGCGTTTTCAAAAATCAAACCTCAGCCGGAACGGCGAAACCCCGTCCACCATAGCCCACAAGAGAGAGAGAGAGAGAGTGAGAGACGGAGCAGCGGTTGCGGTTTCCCTCTCCGTCGCTCTCGCCGCCCGCCGCCCGCCGCCGGCTCCGTGTCCGGAGCGCAAGGCGGGCCCGGCGGCAAGGTCCTCGGCTCCGTCCCCTTCACTCCCGACCGGCGTCCCCCCTTCGTTGGTTCGCCAATCTACTTCGTCCGCCCACCCCTTCCCCCGATCGATCTCTCCTTCTCGCTAAGCAAACCATCTTAACCCTCCCTCCCACGTGCGAGATTAGCCAGGAGAAAGTTCGCCGCTTTTCCACCAGGCATACTTCCACCGCCTTGCTTCGCTGCTTGACTGCTTGCTGCTGTTGGGCGGAGTGTTAAGAGGGCGGCGCAGGAGTCAAGATTCCTTCTTGACCCATCCTTCGTGTTGCCGTTGCCGTTGTTGGTGGTTTTGTTTGTGATTGCGGTGTTGTGTGAAGCGAGGGATCCGAGATTCTTGTGGATTCTGTTTTCCTTTTCCATCGCTGCTGATTCTCCCCCGTGCGACAGCACAAGCGGCGGCGGCGTGGGGAGAGCACCCGCCGTGCCCGGCCTTGGAGGGCCCCTGTCCGTCTATGGAACTTGCCGCCCCGGTGCCACGCCCCGGCCCGGAACCGAAGTGCTCAGCAAGGCGCTGCTTGCCTGCCTCTCTAACGCTGCTGGTGCCCACTGTGGCAGTCTCCTGTTTGATTCCTGCTCCTCGCTGATCGATTTCCGGACTGTGATGATGGTGCCTGCGATGATGGTGCCGCGGACGGCGCTGCTCCTTTGCTGCTGCCTCCTGGCGTTCCCGCCACCTGGTACTGACATTTTCCTTCATGATACATATTCAATTCAGTGATTTAGGGTTGTCGCGATCAGTTGGCGACAATTGCAATAGATGTCTGTTACCATGTAACAAAAATGCCTATTTTTGTTATACTGAAATTTGATTGGTGGTGTTTGTTGTTACTAGGTCCGCTAGCCGTTGAAGCTTTTGTAGGCGGTTACGGGATAAACTATGGGAGAATAGCAAACAACATCCCTTCCCCTGATAAAGTGGTGGAGCTCCTGAGGAGAGCAAAGATAAGGAATGTTAAGATATACGACGCGGACCACAGTGTTCTCGATGCGTTCAAAGGATCTGGGATCAACCTGGTCATTGCAATCCCCAATGGGCTAGTCAAAGATATGGCCGCAAACACAAGCCGTTCGATGGACTGGCTAAATCAAAATGTGCAACCTTATCTCCCTGAGACACGCATCGTTGGGATCACTGTGGGAAATGAGGTGCTGGGAGGCCAGGATCAAAGCTTGTATCAGCCACTTGTTGATGCTGTGAAGAACGTGTATGATGGACTCAAGAGGCTCCACTTGGAGAGTAAAATTGAGCTTTTCACACCTCATTCGGAAGCTGTTTTTGCTACTTCTTATCCACCCTCTGCATGTGTGTTCAAGGAAGAGCTCATGGCATACATGAAACCTCTCCTCGACTTCTTTGCAATGATTGGCTCACCTTTCTATGTCAACGCATACCCCTTTTTGGCTTACATAAGTGATCCAGAACATATTGATATCAATTATGCTCTCTTTAAACCCAACAAGGGAATAGTGGACCCGAATACTAGCCTGCACTATGACAACATGTTTGATGCTCAGATAGATGCAGCTTACGCTGCTCTACATGCTGCTGGTTATGATGACATGGAGGTTCGAGTGGCAGAGACTGGCTGGGCTTCTAGCGGGGATCAAAATGAAGCAGGAGCTTCATCTGAGAATGCAAGGACATATAATTTCAATCTTCGTAAACGGCTATTTCTGAGGACAGGAACTCCTTTGAAGCCAAAGAGACCAGTCAAAGCATATATATTTGCCTTGTTTAATGAGAATCAGAAGCCTGGAGCTGGCTCTGAGAGGCATTATGGGCTGTTCCTTCCTGATGGAAGGATTTCATATGACATCGGTGTCTCAGGTCTACTACCTTCTTCTGCATCCTCATCAGTGCTGTCCATTAAGGTAAGCAATGGATTCTTGCCCTTTTAGGTTATGCTGCTGATTCTGCAACGTATTTATTGTTGATTCTCATTAGATGACTGTTGACTTGGATTGAAATGTAAATGAGTCTGCCTAGTTGTGGAGCCATATTTTGATACCGGGAATTTGGGATGGTCGTGTTAAGACGGTAGTTAATGAACAACATATAGTTTCCAGTATCATAATATTATTGCTACTGTGGAAGCAACATGTTGCTCTGTATGCTGGGTCTGTTATGTGAAAACTTGTATGTTGAGGACAGCATGTTCTAGGTTTTAGCCCATAAATTTGGTTTTTGATATTGTGCAAACATGTTTGGTATTGGAATATTAGAAAATTGTACAGGAGAGAAGGTTTTAGTAAAGACTGAGGGACATGGAGCTTAACTGATATCCATGTTTGGACATTTGTGTGGTTCCTGAAATCCCAGTTCTTGTATAATTTGGACATGTGCATACCCATCCTTATTTCCATTGTTTTAAAACAAAAATGACATGAAGTGAGCATTTAGCGTTGATACTCAAAAAAGCATAATGATCAGAAATAGCTTTTATAACCTCTTCAGTTAACCCTATTATTCTCTTTTTATAAAAGTATAGCAAGTCCCCAGTCTTTCCCAGCAAGCAACTCAAGAGTTAAGACACTGGGATTGAAACTTAGTACAAAAAACTGTGGGTATCTCATTTCTGGCCTCTTGCGCTTTTTTTTTCTGAACGACCAGCCTCATGCGCTTTATTGTGACACAACAATTGTCTGTGGTGTGTGGTCTCCACTGAAGTCGTGCTTAGTTTGGGTCATTATTTAATAAATATGATCCCAGCTGACGTAATTTCCTAGTTTCTGTAATCATTTTATTTCCTAAATTCCAGTGATGTATATCATGTGTACATTTGATTCTGATGCCACAGATTGCTAATAGTCGTAGGTAATCTGACTTGAGCATGTTATTTCTATTTGCAGAAGGTTCGAGCTGGGGGTTGGATTTTACACTATTGGGCTACAGTTCTTTTATGTATTTTCATTCATTTTGGGCCATAGTGACTTGAGGACAGCATAACACATCCGTAGTAAAGGTACAACTGAGCAAGTTAGAATGTTGGGAATGGCAAGTTCACATTGAAAATCCAAATAGTAGTATCATGCACATGAGTTCTGTCTCTTGCAATAATCTCTCCTGATGCTGTCCTGCTTTGCTGCTTAAAACCATACTCAGTTTTTTTTTTTCTAAAAATGATTCATACCTGCTGAAAACCATACTCAGTTTATCTAATTCACTCTCTGTTTTTTTCTCTCTAAATGAATCCTCACCCAGCATTCACTATACATATTTTATTTTAGCAGTCGAAATGCTATATCAAACTAATAACCATGTGAAAGACAGTTCTCTATCATAGCAACTTCTAGCCTCATAGGTTTTTTTTTCCATTTTTAACATTCAGGTTATAGCTCGAGCTTGGATACCTTAAATGTTTATTATTTTTCATTTGGGATGATGTGCATCAAGCAGACAGCCTGACAAGACTGACAAATCATTGTTCTTTTTTGGCCCCGTGTGGAACGGAGGAATTTTCCCTGTTCCTGCATTTTTCTTGTGAAAATGAACTGATTCCTATGAAATTCCTACGCAATTCTTGTGAAATTCCCGCGTTCCGAACATGCGCTAAGTATCTCATTTTGACATATCAGTTACCAGTAGACACTCAAAGCAGATGCTGACTGAAAGAATAGCATTCGTTTTTGTGGATGGTTTGAAGCCTTGAAGGATTGCATGCGCACCTATGCTGTGATCTGTTCGAAGAAGGTCTTAAAAAGCAATAGTTGCAGAACCTCAGAGAATATACATATAGATATCAAAAGGCATCGAAGGATACGGTATGGAATGTTGTTGCCCTGTTTGCCGAGTGGTTCTATTGATTGATTAAGGCTGTAGCATATTGTTAAGGTTTGCTGAGTGGTCCGTGGTCCCATCCATTGCTTGAAGCTTTATACACTAATAATACTATTCTTTAATACTCATATATTGCTTTGTGTCACCAACTCTGGAAAAACCGTGGGGAACTGGGGATAGTCTTCCCCCACCGGCTGAGTTTCTCTCTATAAAGAATGGAGTTGATGCAAAACATGTATGGTTATTGTTTTAAGGGTGTTTGGTTTGAGCAATCACCCAATCCTAAATATGGTGGCCCCGAAGAACTTGCATGATGAGCTTGTTCCATGATTTTAGTGGAATGACTTAATTCCTCATGTCTGTACCAATTATTAGCTTGTGAGTGATAATGTGGTTGGAGATCAACGAAATCAAATGAGGAGTGCGGGGACCATGGATCACTATTTCTCCTACGAAACACACCCTTACTGCTGAAGTAATCATATCTTAACCATATCCTCATAAACTTCTTTCTTAACCGGATCTAGTGATATAGTGGTCACTGCACTCCTTTCATTCCCTCCCGTTCTTTGTTTCTCGAATCTTTTGATCTTTTGTATAAAGAAGAGTATATCAAGAGAAAAGGTAAAACTTTTTTTTGCATATCCCATCTTTATAGCCCCTGCTTTAGACTACAATCATTTTCTTTCTTCCATACAGTATCTAATGCTTTATATTGCTCGTGAAGTACTTTGGTACACGCTCAATCAGTGAGCACCTGGGCATAGGATGCTAGTTGCTAGTATTGACATCTGACATTTAGAAACAAGAAACAGCGGTTGCCAGAACGGGCACGGAGGGTGGCCACGGAAGTAAAATTATTTTACAGCATTGATGAAAATCGGACGCTGGCCTATTGCCTCTCTGCATCTGTACGGTTAACCACGTTGGTTGTCGTCCTCTCGGATTTTTTTTAACACTTTTTTAAAACTATTTTCAAATCTGATATTGTTTGTTTTATTTTTTCAAAATTAACACTTTTGGACGCGCCTATTCGCATAGCGCGGCAAAATCACTCTGCCGCGCCATGCATGGCGGCGTGGCGGGCAGGCGATCAGCAGGCTGCGGCGACGACGCGTGGCGCGAGCTACTGCGTCACCTACTACTTGGCCTTGAGACCTGCTACTCCTACCGCCTTTTGTACTTACTGCTTCGTGTACTCGCACACAAAGCCTGTATGGCTCTATGGGCTGGCTATGGTAGTGCAAGCTAGGAGGAGGCGTGCACACACAGACGTAGGCTTCGCCATTGTGACCTGACACAGTGACACCTCTCCCTCGGTCTCTGACTTGCTTTTTGACTGTACACTTGACGCAGCGCCATTGTGACATGCACAGTGCTTGAGAACAGCTCACGGGCTACCAGCATCTGACTATGTACCAGCCTCATAATTATGAAACAAATGCAGGGCACAACATTAATATACATAACCGATAAAAACAACTGACAAGTCACATCCTCCTCATTGCTTCAATGTTATTGGTATGAAGTGTTTGCTTCTTTCCTCTGCCACTATTGCCTAGGTGGCTGGCCGTGAGGCTGTCTTCTCGATGTATTAGCTCTGTTTCTCCTTCGATGGCCTAAATTCTTGGGCTTATTGCTACTGGCGTTGTTTGCTAGGCCATGTTGCTCTGTTTCTGAGGTTGAAGTAGCGGTGTCTTTGCTGGGATCAACATTCTCTTCTTCAGCTGTTTCTGGCATGCTAGGAGGAAGAGAAACATACATTCCTGGTTGTATGGCAAGGTCTTTCTTTGGTTCAATCAGGCCGTTTCGTTCTTGCTGCAGATTAATAAGTGACTCGATTATTTTTCTCCTGTGCCCATGAGCTGCACACAGTCAGATGCTGGTAGCCCGTGAGCTGCTCTCAAGCACTGTGCATGTCACAATGGCGCTGCGTCAAGTGCACAGTCAAAAAGCAAGTCAGAGACCGAGGGAGAGGTGTCATTGTGTTAGGTCACAATGGTGAAACATGCGCTACCATGGTGTCACATCACTCACATGTCTCTGTGTGCACGCCTCCTCCTAGCTTGCTCTACTATAGCTAGCCCATAGGGCCATATAGGCTTTGTGTGCAGACACAACAACAGAAGTACAAGGCGAGTAGGAGTAGCAGGTCTGCCGCGCCGTGATGCGTGGCGCCGCAGGCTCGCCGTGTCGGGACGGGTGGCGCGTCAGACCTGCCACGTTAGCGGTCACCGCAATCGTTGACTGCCCCTGCCGCGCCGCCATGCATAGCGCGACAGAGTTATTTTGTCGCGCCATGTGAATAGGCACGACCAAAAGTGTTAGTTTTGAAAAAAAATAAACAGTGTCAGATTTGAAAATAGTTTAAAAAAAGTGTTAAAAAAAAAAAATTCTCCTCTAGTTGGTTCGGTGAAAAATATCTCCTCATCCTCTCTTCCCAGTTCCCACTCGGCTCTCCACACTACTCTCTCTCTCTCTCTCCTAATGGGGACATTTAACTTTTTGCCATCCTTACGGATGACACTCCTTCGTTTGTCATTTTTACACGGACACCTACACATTTGTCATCGCAAACAGTAACCCTCCTAATTTTTTGCCATTTTTGCTGATGTGGCATGCCACACAGTCAGCCAGCGTGGCAACGCCTCTCCTCCCGCTGTTGCTTCTCTCTCCCTCCACTCGCTGACATGTGGACCCCACCAGTTAGGTTCATCTTCAACCTCTAGCCACCGGAGAAACTATCCCCATAGTGGAGAGGTCTTCATGCAATAAATGTGAATCTTTTTTTCACTGTCTCTCTCTTATCCCTCCGATGCTCTCTCCTATGTTCTCTGCCAACCGAACCAAAGCATGGCGGGCGCGGCCGATGCGGGTGAAAGCTCTAGTTTGGTTTTGGTGAATTGATGAAACCCTAAGTGCTAACCTAGTTTATCAAAGTGATTATGAGATAGGTGGTACTACTCCAAGTGATTAAGCAAATGAAGATCATAACATGATGATGGTGATGACATGGTGATGATTAAATGCTTAGACTTGGAAAAGAAGAAAGAAAAATAAAAAGCTCAAGGCAAAGGTGAAATTGATAGGAGCTTTTCGGTTTAGTGATCAAGACACTTAGAGAGTGTGATCACATTTATGATCGATAGCCGTACTATTAAGAAGGGTGAAACTCGTATCGAAATACG